CCACCCACAGTCACTGGTCTTGTTCAGACTAGGCTTCTACCAATCTTCACAGGGTCTTCTGCCTTCAGGATGGTCTCCGAGCAGGAGAGTTCTGGAGTGGAAGAGGCATCTGCTCTTAGGCCACATGTAGCCTGGCATGTGCTCAGTGTGCATGGAAACCCACATATATTCAGCACTGATATTAGCAACACTACTGCTGAGCAAATGTGGATTTCAAAGGGATTTTCAAAGTAGACTCGTGAAGCAGTCTTTTATTTTCCTTCTGCCTCTCCTGATGCTGTGCTAACTTTCAGCGTCTTCCTCTGACACATGGGAATAGCAGAACTGTTTGTAAATATGAAAACAATAAAATTGGACAAAATAGCATAGTTTTATCTATCCTTACTGCCATATGCACAGAACCATCCTGGCTAAAAATTTCTTAATAGTAGGTTATCGGCCTCAGGCTGGTAAGTGTTTTGGAAAACTTCTTCCCAAATACATCAAGTCTGGTGATTAAGAGCTGAAACCAAGGTCTCACAATTCAGTGTTCCATGAATCCTTACCCTGGTAAAAGCAGGTGACACCAGGCATACCTGTGGTTGTATGAAATCATCTGAACTATCTGCTCTTTTCACCTGCCCAGAAAAGCTCATAAAGAGCTGCTGGGTGTAGTAATCTGTTTGCAACATGCTGGAAGGATGGTGAAGCCTCTAAGTGTCCAGCATTGCTCAATTCAGCTACTGCACTCTGGGCAGAGTGAGAAGGTCTGCTAGAAATGGCAACAGCCACTGTGGGTTCAGTTACGGATCCTGGGAGGGACCTTTCTGTATTTGGTGACTCGGTACTATGGTGACAAAAAACTACACAAACACTTCACAGGGAATAAGGCCACCTGTTTTCTGCTCCTCCTTATGCAGTGTGGTGCTGCCTGGGAATCATCTGTGGTGGTGAATTCTTTTGAGTTTGTCCTTTTCCTATGTTGCTCTCCTGGAATATCCTTTGCTGGGGTGAAAGACTCCTTCAGATGCCATTTATGATCCACTTTATTTAGTGGACTCCATTGAGTTGCCAGTGAACAACAGAACCCTTGTCATATTCTCCAGAGTCCCCATGTTCAGCCTGAAGTACTGCCAGCCTTTCATACAGAACCCAAATAGCAGGTGGAGTTCACCCTGCCTCTTAACACGCAATGCGTCATCCATTGTAGGCTTTATTTGGTGATGGCTGGAATCCCCTTCAAAATAGAGTGTGCTTCCAAAAGGCATGTTTAATCACCATGACTGCACCTCTGAAGTGGAGAGGCTGCCTCCCAAACCATCATCTCCATAGCTTCGTTCCTCCAGGTAACCATTTAGAAAAGCATTTGGCACAATGGCTATTCTTCGTCTTTCCAAAGTCTTCATCTCACATTTGTTCCTGAGTCACCTTTAATTGACACTGTTCTTTACATGTTTGCAACTGTTCTGGCTAAAGTGCTGACACAGTGGAAAGCAGCACCAAACTGAAAGGCTGAATTCCTTGTGTTCACAGAAAGCAGTCAGGAAAGCAAAAGGTGAGGCAAAACTTTCTCGCAAGACCACCACTGGTACTACATTTCATTCCTCTTCTACCTTCATAATGAGTCTGGTCTTCCTCTGAGCATGAAATTTCCCATTCTGAAGGACCAGAAGAGCCTGCCACTCAGCACTAGCCATGGCTCAGGTTCTCCATGTAGCTCCCCTTGACATTAACAAGAGATGTTCCCACAACTTCCAGTCTGGCAGGAATCAGAGGAACTCTTTCCATTCACTTCAAGCGAGTGATCAAGGGTGATCAAGCCCACACAGGGACACAAAACCTAGACGTGAGCAGAAAGCTGTAGGAGGGAGGAGAGTTCTTCACTTGACTCCAAGGCATTTGTGCATATTCAGCGTGACTGTGCAGCACAGTCTTGACCATAAAGTCTGAGGAAATTGTTGCTTGGCATGCTCAGGTTGCTCTCATTCTCAGCAAGGCTGAAGCAACATCAGGAATGTAAGGGACAGAAAGCATTATTACACCTCTGGGTAAATCTAGAGTGCCCCAGTCTGGAACTCTGCATGCAGGTCCTGTCCCCCATGCCCAAAGAGGAGGCAATCAGAAATGTTACAAGGTCAAAATGTCTGTGGTAGGAAGTCACACCAAAATGTGCAGGACTCTGCATGCTGTAATGGCCAACAACAAATGGGAGACAGAAGGAACAGTTTGCCCGCTGTTTCACACAGTGCCACAGATGCCAAATGCCACAATCAGAAATGTGGTTTATAAGAAACAAAATGATTATTTGAAGAATCTCATAACTGGTGGGGTTCAAGGCCACATAACAATATGGAAGTCAAAAGTATACAGGGGTTCAAATGGTGGTCAGGCAGGTCCATGAAGCGTTGACTTAGAGGTGTAGATCCAAGCTCCAGCTGAGGAAGTCTGAGACATGGAAGGGAAGATGCTTGGCACAGGAAGAATGCTGCGTACTTCTTCCCAAAGTGGCCAGGCCAGGGCAGGAACTCTCAGAGGTGCACAGTGCAGCGTACAAGCCTGTTGTCCAACCCAGGACAGAGAATTGCATCTTCTTACGAAGCAGTTGTGGGCTGAGGGAAGGGCTTGTCACACATCTCTCAGCACTTTCTAAGGAATGGTTGTATTTTCACTTCAGTCTGGCCAGCAGCGCAGAGACGTCTCTGTGCTTCTCTGGTGCTTGCTTGTAGCTCATGAGGAGTTTGTGGGAATAAATACAGAGCTCACTATTGTGTCAGCTACTAGTCAGGCTTAATGACCATTTATTAGCCCATACACTATTGAGCAAAGAGACTCCCTTTTAATGAAGGTCATACTAAATAACAGTGTACAAATAATGCTTAATGACTCAAAGCGATGCTGGGTCCTTTAAGATCAAGGAAAATGGTCTCTAATTATACTTGGATTTCTCCTTCCTTAAATGACATCGACTAGTACACCAAAGTGTACTAGTGACATAAAGTCCTTTCAGCCAGGGAGGCCATTTATAGGTAAAAAATACAGGATTTTTATTAAAAATACAAAATAGTTTATCATCTTAGTGAAATAAGGTTCAAAGGAGTTAGTTTGTGATGTAAGCAAATATATATCTATAATAGCATACATGTTTGTAATTCCCATCCGTGTCTCTCATGGTTAATATCATGGGACTCACTACTTCAACTCTGCAGGTGAAAACACAGAGACCAGGAAAGAGGATGTGGCTTCTCCAAAGTCACACAATAGCTCAATTGTCAAGTATGAAACACGTAAGTGGAAATAGACAAACACAGAAGCCTGTTCACAAATGGGAATAAAATATGACAAGAATGAGCAAACCTTTCTGTTCCCGAAAGAGAAGGGTCATCTGCTGTGGTAAAACAAAACCAAACATCTAAAAAACACCTGCAAAGTCCTTGGCTATCCACATAATTTACACCAGATTCCCTCTAGGGACTCGAGGTTGGGAGGGGCTGATGCAGGAATCTTCCCCGACTGCTGCAGGAGCTGGAAACGGGGCCATTTGCCACAGATAAAGTGGTTTTATTCGATAAATTCAGGAGGCTTGGATTCTTGCTAGTGGTAGAGTTGAGGGGATCAGTCAACTGCAGTCATGAGCTGTTTAACTGTTTCTAAATCAATTGGTACAGGATTTCCCCACTTCACATTTATACCATGCCAAGTGTGCTGCTGGGCTCTGCTCTATGCTGCTGTACCTGTGCTGGGCTGCCACTGGGGAGCAATGCACACAAAAGACAGACCGCTCCTGAACGTGCTGGCCACCCGCCTGCAGAACTTTTCCAGAGACGTGCAGATCTCCTCAAATCAGCTCTACCATAGCTCACCTTTTCCCTTCTTTTTTATCTCCCAAGACATTGTAATCACACTGAATTCTCCGTTATTGAGATTCTCAGGGAAGAATCAAAACTTTCCTCTCTCCGAGCAAGGAAAAAAAGGAGGCAGCTGCTTCTTACAACCCTTTTTCAGCTCCTCTCCCACTGTTTACCTTACTTCTTTACCTTGCAAACAGCTCAACGTCTTGGAGCCTGGGCTAAGCCCAGCCCTTTTGTGCCCTGCAGTCATCGCTGCATCTTTTAAGGGAAAACTGATTCCCAGGAATGCTGTGCATGCACATACCTATCTGGGCTCTGCACCCACACCTGCCCACCAGGTAACCCAGTGCCCGCTGGCCCTCGCAGCCACATTCCAGCCGGCAGAGCTATTACTCACTAATTGTTACCTGTCAAACAGGTAAATGAAGCTCTTGGGCCAAGTCCAAACAAGTGTATATTCCCACGAAATCCTAAACCAGCAAACCTTTGACCTTTCTGCAGCCCCACTATTGATTTTTGCTGGGACTGATTTAAAAGTATGATGGTATCTTTGATGGACATAAAAAAAGTGGCATGTTGGCTATTGTTTATTTTGACAAAGCTTTCTTGTACGTGTTAATACCTGCAGGAGACCAGAGGATTATCAGAACAGGAGAGCAGAGCAGGCAGCCCAATACACACGGCATAGCTCACATCTCCCAAATCACACAAGTCGGGTGGCTTTCCAAGATCTTGGCAGCACAGTGCTGATCCAGAAGGTGAATGGTAGGAATTAATATGCAAAACCTCCCGAGGCTGAAAAAGTTGGTGTACAAAATAGCCCAGAGCTATCTGGGAGGGCTGGAACTGGCATTTCCTCTTCAATTCACCCTGCTCAGACTTGCTCTGCAAAGTGTTAACAGGATCAGCTCCTGTGGAGCAGGAGGGTCTCTGCACACAGCCATAGGCAGAAGCCTGTTACTGTTGCCCAGTGAGGCTGTAAAGACTTGGGCAAAACTTTGTGCTTTCTAAATAGGCCAGCTACAGAAAGCAGTTCAGATCAAACTTCCCCATCATAAGGCTTGATCCTCCTGGCTAATTGCACAAAAAACACATTCCCATGCAGAAGCATCCATGGAAGGGCAGCTTGCTCTTACCGTGAGTTTTCGTATGTTTCTACATCCAAATGTGATAAAAGAAAAAAATGGGCTTTATTGAAAAAATACAGCTATAAATCACAACATTCCAAACAGCACAGATGTCCCTGCTTTACTGTGACCCTCCTCTTTACAAGCAATCTGGCTTGGACTATAAGTGCTTTGGGGTGAAGGCCACAGTACCTACACGTTCTCACAGCAAATGACACGATCTGACGACGCTTCTGCCTCCATAACATGATTCAGTCTCACCATAGCTTCACCCTAGGTGTTGTGTTGAGTCTCCCAGCTGTCAGAGGTGATGGCCTATGAAAGAGAAGATAAAGCGTATAAACCAGACTGTTATTGATAATAATAGCACCACGATCTCTCTCCCCACCAAGACAGTAATCTTTCTCCACAAAGGTTGCAGACAGCCTCCACTGATTTTGACCCCTTACCTTAGCTTTACCCCAGTTAAACCACAATCCTGTAGATGTCCCAGATGCCATCTTAGACATTGAATTTTATCTTGGAATAGATTATCATTATATTTTTTAATATTAATTATAGTTTTTGGAAGTTACCTGAAGCAAGCAGTTGTTAGAGAGACCATTTGCAAAACAAACTGGCTTTTGATGCTCCATTTGAAGACGCATTTCTGGCTTTAACTTAACAGAACCTCCAGACTGAGGCTGGCACATTTCTTTGGAAGAGGCTAGTGCTTTAAGATGATTTTTAGGGGGTTTTATGAGATCAGATATGCTAGCAGAACTCCAGCTCAGTCCCATGCCTTCTCTAACTGCTGAGGGATTGGCTCAGAAACCAGAGAAATCCTGGGATTTACAGCTGAGCTACCAGGTTTCATGGAGCTGAGCACAGTTTTGGGCTCTCACAGACCCAATGTGCCAAGTACAGAGGAGTTCTCCTGTCTTCTTCTCTCACACATAGCCTACCAGAACCCCACAAAACTCCACAGCAATTCAGGAAATGATCAAACACAGAATCCAAAGATCAGTACGAGGATGACTTCCTCTCCAGAGCCTCCTCTGCACCCTGAGGACATGGCTGGACTGTTTGCTGTCAGCTGACACCCACCTACATTGTCTGTGGCTCCTTTGTGACAAAGCTGTTCCCCTAAGTGAAGAGGAGCCGAGGTACCAACAAACATTATCAAGCCTTGACTTTAAATGGATACTGTGAAGAAGCAGTTAGTGTTGGCCCCACTGCTCCCTGCCTGGCAACAGGAGATAGCCCAAGCTTGGCAGGGAGTGGGACGGGAGGAGAAGGGGCTGTTTTGGTTTGGCCAGGAAGAAAGGCAAATGTTTTCTCTTGTGGCTTCCAAGAGGAGGCAGCATCTTGACAGAGGCAACCTGAGCACCAGGCCAGAGTCCTCTCAAGAGTCCTCTCAAAAGCTGTTCAACCCAACAGTGGTCTCTTCACAAGCTCCATTCAGCTGAATTTACTTGATTTGGGATTCTTCCCCCTTTTCACCTCACAGTGAGATTAAACAGATGTCCTGTCTGCTCCTAGCTCCTTGCCAGGCTCCAGCATGGAACGTCTTTCAGCTTCTAGCACTGTCACAGGCATTGCACTGACCAGCTTTCACTGGGTATCACCTTAATGTTCCTGTCCAGTAGTATCTGAAACCACCAGTAATGGTACCCACAGGTATTTTGCTTAAGATAAAAGGGAAGATATCTTAAAATATGACTAATAAAATGTGTCTGTTTGAAAACCATCACATGAAAATGGACAGCTGCATTACTGATACCCATCTAGAACCAGGTGGAAATAATTTGGCCAGAAAATGCTGACTTTTTCTGTATCTCTCATTCCAGTTTTGACAACCATTTACTGAACAAAGAGCAAGGTTTCAGGATTTTGTTGCTCCACATAGGCTATTAAGATCCCTGGAGCACCTGGGCTCTTGGGGGTCCCTGCAAGCTGGCTTTATCCATGGTGGAGCTGATTGTCTGTTCTCCCTACAGGAGTTTTGAGAAAGGGCCAGAATAGCTCAAAGTTTGAGTTTTCTCTTTCAGACCTGTAGAACTTCTGTGTCTTAATTTTTCCCAACTACATATGTGAACAAACAAGATATTAGCTCTGCTAGCAAACCTGACCTCTCCCCCCAGCATCACTTTTACAACATGTTTAACATATGAAGGATGTCCTCTTTGTAATTAGCTCTTACTGGGGAGACCATGGATGATTTAGCTTTTTCTCAACAGCTGAAGAAGAGGGTTGGTTGACTGGAAGATTAAGGAAACTGGACTATGAGTGCCCATGCACTGATCACCGGAAAAGCTGACTATAACCACCAGTTCACACAGTCTCAGGCCGCTGCCTGTGACCATGGGCCACTTACATTATTCCACTCCCGACTCCATCTTGAGCAAAACTGTGTTACTCAGAGAGCTGGTGACACAGAGAGAAAGTTTTCCAACTCCTGTAATGTTCAGAAGTGAACCATCCTGGCATTGCTACTCTATGCCTGTGTGGGGTTTAATACCTGTTAGTGTAATTGAGAGGGTGTGCAGTAAAGCTGTGTTTACATTTGTTTGAGATTCGGAAAAGCAAAATTAGAGAAAAGAAGAAAACATACAACTCTTCAGAGCTACAAAACCACCTTCTTAAATGAAGAAATAAATAAGGGATTCTCACAAATGAATGCAAAACAACCGAGAAAAATAGATCTGTGCCTAATCAAACAAAGCCCTGATTAGTTCAGTGGTGGCAGGGGTGCACCAGTGACACCAACCCTTACAGTTTTGTTTATCTTTTTCTAAAGACCAACCTCTTAAATTTATATGACAAAAGTGTATTATTTAACTGATTCTTACACTTCATTTTTACACCAGGGAAAAGCTTGAGAGGGAAATACTGAGACACTGACAGATGGATGAAACCTCTATTTTTCAAATGTCACGATTCTAAAACACGATGCAAGGAAGGGGGTACCACCACCTGTAAGCGTTCACTTCAGAGTCTAAAGCGGAGTTTGAAGCTCAGGGCCTCCAGAGTGTGTTCTGTCATCTGCTGCAAACATGGCATGAAAGAGGCAGGAAGTAAGATAACAAGATTCTTGTGTTTGCTAGAAAGAAAAGAGCTCAGTTCTCAAATGCCTGTATCTTTGCTATGGCTCAGGACACAGCATGTCACCTAGACAGCAGTATCTCTGCCACTGCTCCTGTGCACCTTAGGGAAGGCTGCTACAGCACCAACACTACTTGTATCTTCCCATCATCAAGCTGTCTGTTGTTCACAATAGGTGTTTCACTGCCGGTATCAGGGGCAAGAATTGTTTGCATAGGCCAGGCTGCCTGTTTTTGGTGTGAGATAGCTGAGAGGAGTGCACTGCAGCTCCCAGCACTCATTAGCCACTAATCTCATGCACTGAGATTCCCACGCACTGTGCAGGCTGCCTTTGGTGAATTTTCAATTAGCATTATAACACTCCAAGCTTTGAATGCTTTGTGTATATTTATCTTCTCCTTCAATTGTCAGGGCCAGCAGACAGAGTAAATTAAACCAATTTAAGACTATCTGTGTCTGTTATTTGACAGCTATTAGCCTAAACTGACATAATCTGCCAGCTCAGAACTAACACATTTGTGTTAACCTGGGTATGACTGACTTGAATTCTTTCACAGAAAATGTGAGAAATCATGTAGGTGCTGCTACAGAAGTGGAATTCACTGCAGCATGTACAGGAGAAATGTCTGCCCTTACTGCATTGATTTGTCATTTCTAGAGGTAGGTGACACGGGTCTGCTGAATGAAGGAGGGCAAAACCCACACACGGGTCCCAGACTGAACAGGGGCTGTATGCAGCACATGTTAAGGGAACATTAGTTGGGGAGCAGGCATGGAAAGAAGAGCCTGCAAAGAAGTCATTGTGTTTGATTCCTCTTCTAGAACCAGAGCCCAGGGCTGACAAACATGCTGCAGCCTTTGGTACTACACAGGTAGCAGCACGCACCTGCAAACACTGAACTCAACCCTTTTGGGCCTGATCATCAGCTTACAGAATTAGAAAGGTTCTCAGTTGACCCCATCCACCACAGGATCAGGCCTTCTGAAGAAGTGCTTCAAAGGAGAAAATGACACTTGGATCTTAGAGAGACCTAAAGCCAGAGGAGGCTGCAGACTTTCTGGGAAAGTAATCTGTCAGTAAAGTGCAAGTCAAGCAGTTTCCTGGGCACAAAGGCAATGACTACACATGTATGTATAACAAAAAATTCCAATTCCTTCACACTGCCATCAGTGACACAGGCAAACCTCAAGCCAGGCTGCCACTAGCTACTGCCTCATTCCTGTTGGAATTCTAACTACTGTATTGTCATATCAGAGCATCCAACTCTCAGTCCACCCAGCCCCATTGTCACTGCCACCAAGCTCTACTCACTGGAGCCAACACCAGCTGTTGGTGCAATTCTCTGCATAAATAGGCAGTCACTAAGGGGAGGCACTTCAAAGCACCCTCCTCAGACTCAAAAGGTTCTCCCCATTATAGTGCTATTGGTTGTTTACACTGAGGTAATTGGTGTGTGTATAATTGGCCTTGTTTACACTGAAGATTCTCAGATATCCTAGGTCTCCCTTCCCCCTCCCTTCCCTTATGGAAATTCCAAAACCTAAAGGGAACACCACAGATGAAGGAGAAATCCACCCTTCCCTGCCCCCATCTTCCAAGGCTGGGTTTGGAGGGCAAAACCATCAAATTTAACCCCAGGCATCTCACTGTCTGAAGCTAACAGAATTTGAGACCTACCCAGCTGTGAAGTCACTTCCAAAGCAAAAAATGGAGATGTAGTGCAAAGGACAACTTGAGTGATTAACATTCTGCATAACAGTGTCTATAAAGAACAGGCACAACACCTTCTACATGTCTATCTTCTGAAGAAAAGATGGTCATTTCACTTGTGGCTTATAAAATACCTTCCTGATCAGATTGCTGCACTCATGCATGCACTTGTATGAATTCAGCTTCCCTGGGTCTACAGTGGTGCTGATGCTATGGATTGTCTTGCAGTTGCAGAAATTCACCACCACTCCAGCCACTGGACAAGGCTGAAAGAAACAGATGTTGCCAGAGCTCCTGGTGATGCCACGTGTCTCTAATGCTGAGCCTCTCTTACATTGTGTGAGACTCCAGAACTGGGCTGTGCAAATACTGTAATTAATTCCGCTGCTTACACCTGGAAGGCTTTCATTCACTCCAACAGAAAAGACTGTTTTGCATGCACTTTCACAATCACTTTAACTCCAAGCTAAAACCAGGCTGCTGCCAAAAGAGGTGGACCTGTCCTACAACTGCTATCCCTTTCCTTCTATTGGCTCCAGCACTCCCACAACTTAGGAATGGAGTTTTAGGGGGTCAAGCCAGCCTACTTACCTGCTTGAAAACTAACCGTACTACGAAAAACAAACTAAACCAGTTTTCAGGAAGATGAAAAAGCAAGGCTGCTGCTGTGACACAAGAGGGCAGAAATGTATGACCTAAGGTAAGAAAGAAAAAGCCCCTTTGGGTAGGCACATGCTAGGCACATGCTCTTCTACCTGGCTAAGCCAACCACTGATGACTCTAATGTGTTTATCTGTTAGGAATCTCAACAAAATATGCTTTATTCAACTTCACTGTAGGGAGGGTTGAAGCACACACCTCTCACCTTACAAAAAAGATCCCAGGAAAGCCTGGGTGACAGGACTTTCTGACATTCTCGTATCCTGCTCAAGTTGCTGCCTGCTCCTCGGTGTGACCTTGGGGATGCCATGGGAATCCCTGATACAGGATTACTTCCTGCTCCCTCCACCTTCACTGCGTTGTGGTACCAAGCTCAGTGTCAGCCGCCTGCACTTCATACAGACATAAGTCTGAGAAAAAATTTCATCAAGAGTTATAAAACTCTGGTGAGAATGGACTCCACTATGCCCAAGGTAAAACCTGTCCTTGAAGCCAGCTATGATACTGCATCATCAGTTGTCCTGTCTAGATACTGATTTCAGCTTAGAGTTACCAGTGCAACATTTAAAATTCAACCTATGCTGCTCATAGGCTGAACCAATTAGCTCTGATATGAGATAAAGACATTTGGGTTAAATATCCCACATTTCAAATGCTGTTTGTCTACTTCGTGAGTGCAATTCACCCTGAATTTCCCTCTCCTCTCCCTGTAAACTCTACCTTCACATTTGCTAGTGATTTAAACAAAAAAAGGGCAAGGCTGACCTGAGAAAGGTGTTTTGCACTCTCTCAGGCACTGTCTGGGAGACCACGGGAGGGCTAAGGGATTCTGATAGGCAGAAAGTTTAACAAGCAGTTAGGCATGATGATGTTTCAGGGCCTAAGAATCTGCAATCAACACAAGTTTGTCAAAACATATAATCCCTGCCTGTGCAGTTTAAAAATAAATGTATTCTAAACTGGGAAACTCACTGGTTTTACTGGAAATGCAAGAGTACTTTCCAGGAGTCAGGTTGGAGCATTCTGCAGCCTACCTGCCTGCATCTGCCACCAGCCTGAGATTTGGGCAAGGGGTACTAAATTCCTGGCTCTGCACAAATTCCCCACATAATCTTTGGCAAATCTGTTGCTCAAAAACCTCATGTATAAAATGGAGAGGTGCTACACCTACCTCCCCACGTCTGCCTTACACACCTCCTTTGAAACCTTCAGAGGTCAGGAACTTGTCTCTGGCAGTTTGTGCCTGGACTGTGGGAGCTTGAGCAACTTCTCTGTGATACCAGATGTCTTTGCCTTGGGGCTAGGAGAATGCAGGGTGTCAGTTTGGCCTCCCTCTCACACAGGCATCCTGAACCTTTGAATGTGTCTTCCTGCACCTAGTTCACTCTGGAATGACACAGCCTAAGTACATGATTTTGCCTCTCTCCCTCAAGCACCTTAACCACAGTATCTATTATTCAGAGAAGTGATTTATACCCCCAATGATGGTAATGCAGGATTTGCTTTCCCCTGAGAAGTGCTAGTACTTAGAGCAAAGTTTATGGTGAAATAAGGAGCAACATACACATCTCGCCCCCACCCTTCCCCGCAGGGCTATTGCTCATGTGTGGGAGCTAGAGAAAAAAGCAGTAAAGAAATGGAGCCTGCTTTGCCCCTCACACCCAAACACTGCATATAAACAAACAGCCATCTCCAGGTACTGTTTTCAGTCAGAGACAAGCAAATACTCAGCATCTCTTTCCTGGAGCCACATAAAACTTCTTCACTGCAGAATACTTTCACCTTGTTTCTTCCTGAAGCTAAAATTTCCACTTAGTTGGGGAAAAAAGGAAAAGAAACAAAAGTGTAAGGGAAAAGCACAGATGTTCTAAATCTGTTTATTCCAAGAGATTTGGTTTCTGTACTGAAATGGAGGAAGCAAAATCTACAGTGCAACTCCTATTTACACACAGTGTCTAGGGGATGACACAGTAAGAAGTTTCTGCATCCTGAAAATTGAGAAAACATTAATGTTTTATCTGTACCTTCTCTTAAATAACTCAGAGAAACAAAGGCAGGGTTAAAAGCAGCATATGCTACAGTCATGGAACACTGTTAAAGGCCTCGGAATTACATAGTTACTCCAATCTGCACTAAAAAACAATGAAAAAAACCCAATACTGCATTAGGCAGTGTAATAATGCACACAGGTAATAAGAGATACTACAGAAGAAAAATGAGATGTAAAGGAATTGGAAGCAACATGTCAAAGTGAGGCGATGAAAGCCTGATTTCTGGGTCTGGCTATCCCACAACACAGAGGTGGAACAAGACAGAGTAGCTATCACATCTCCCTGGGTGTCAGGGAAGTCCTTCCAGCAGCAGAGGCATAGCAGAATCTACTTTCACAGCACTCTGAGATAAAGCAGGCTTGTAGGTGCATGCAGGGCATGTGCACTGTATAAACACGGTATCACTGAGATGGTGAACCTGATAGGACAGGATGACGAAGCAGCTGCAGGGGATCTAGAACTGGGGTCTTCCCCAAAACACGGACTAAATGATCTTGAAGGTTCTGAGCATTGAAGAACCAAACCCAGGCAGTAAGAAAGGTTAAAGATTATGTCAACAAGCTCTTCTACACTGCCCCAAAAGCTTGATGGAGTAATATTATATACTGCCTTTATGTATATGAACTAAACCAGTTGGAGGCTTTCTTCTGAAATACTCCTCTGTTTAAAAGAGAATAGCAACAAATAGTAAGAGAGTGACACCGCTACACCTGTCTGTAAAGTTACTAAAAGCAGAGTTGACAAAGCTTAAACAGAAATACAGAGACACAGGGTCTAGTGACCTTTACATAGAACAAGGCACTGCAGAGATCTCCTGGCTCCTACACTGGTTCCTTTTGTGCCACCAGACAGTCCTCTTTATCCTTTACCCCTTCAAATGAAATAACATTTGCCTGCTGCTGAAGGCAGACACAAGGATAAATGAGCAACTGCACAGGGGCTATCAACCCCACCTCTTATTCAGCAGATCCTGAAAGCAACTTTTTGCATTTCCTGTGATTTCTTAAGTACCTTGCTATTTGATTAGTGACCTATTTTGAGGGAAAACTGCATTTATTTTAAGTGAACAGGATAATACATCCACAGCTTTGTTTCCCAACTCCTGCTGCTGGAAAGTATTTCTGTGGATTCTTTGGGCTGCATTTACTCTAGTTCCTCAGTGTGGGAAAAGTAAACAAGCAATTGTTTATATGCCATCCTTCACCTTCTGCATGCTGGAACACTTACACCTATTTCAGGATAGACTGTTAGAGCAAAAAGAGACACATTTGTCATTGTTTTTAGAATGCTTATCATTGCAGTGCAGTATTTTAGACCTGTAGAGCTTCTCTATTGTTTTGAAACCCTCAACGTGCTTATAACCAATGCAAAGGTGGTTAAAGCTCTTGGGTTTTCCACATGTTGATCATATCCCTGTTACAGATTCCTTTAAAATGATGTTCTGGATGTCATAATGGCTCAAGAACTTACTGGTAAGAGCTAGGAACAGCAGCCTCAGTGGCAAACAGACTTGGCCATTCCCACTCTCCAGTGAGAGCCCTTCAGTCCCAGCCTCCATGGAACCTAGAAGGCCAGCCCACCTCCACCAGGCACCCACTGCAGTACCAAGAATTGTGGGCTCATTTGTACAACTGAGGGAATTTGTGTTGGAAAAGAAGGGGTGGAAGGGAGGAAATTAAATAAACAGAAAAACTGGAATTTAGAGAAAAAGTTGGTTTTAAACTACTACTGTCAATTAAAAATGTTCTAGTAATTAAAGATAAAAAAAAAATCTATAGCTATTAGAACAATTTTTTCTTCCATTCCCCAGGAACTGTTCACAGCCTGAACAAACTAACAGCATTTCACCTTCATCCCCAAATAGTTTAAATTAAGATTACTCAAAATGTGTCTATGAACACATTTTTGTTTGCAGTTTTGTTCTACGATGTTGCAAATATCCTGTTGATTAATCCAGGAAGCTGGACACAGCTTCAGGAAGACATACTCAACATTTTTCTCACAGGCCAGGTTATTTAGGATCTCTAACTCTGCCCCATAATGGCATCACACGATTTTAATGTCAACTTAATTATATTTGCAAAATCCCAGATCCCACATCACATTATACTGTCTTTCAGAGATGCCTTCTTACTCTCTTTCATACTATGGTTTTACACTAAAAGGAAAACTACCGTCATTAGGTGACCTAAGTGTATTTTCCAAATGTTTCAAAATGCTTGTGTGAATCACTAAAAAACACTATCAGGTAGATCAAAGCATCTGCAGAAAAGCTATCATTCTACATTAAATTATGTTGGATTGGTTCCAAAACTGTTGAGTAATCTTTATGAAATGGATTGGTACTTTAATGTCTGCTAATCAAGTATGAACCTAATATTCCCATCTGTTGTCAGACTTTGCTGGCTTCTTGGCTGTGATGGTGTCTCAATCCTGAAAGGATTTCCATGCTGTGAGCTGTTTTCGTTGCTAAAAATTATTTCTCCTGTTCTAAACTGAAATAATATTGTGTGTGCCCCAGTGCCTAGATTCAGTGTTGCAGATACACAGGATAGTCATAAATTTCAGACCATGAATTCTACACTCACAATGAGCAAAACAAAAATAAAGCCCCTCCCTCTTTTTCTTATACATTTCCAATGCAAATCCGTATTTCAAATAGAAAGTGCCACGCTTGGCTCTACACCTTACCCTGTGGCCAGGAAATACTTATGGTCCTCCACACAGCTGAACTGCTGCTGTTGTACAAGATGTGGATGCACCTGAGAGCTTGAGGCTGCTAAAGGGATCCCAGCAGACCTCTTTGGGGAGCACAAACTGCAGTTTCATTGTGAAGCATTAGGAGTAAACTCTTATCAGGATCTTGGTTAACTAGAATTACTTCCTTAAAGTTAACAGTGCAGTGATTAATTCTTACAGCATCTGAAAGATCTATTTGGGGTATATGAGGGTTGCACTGAAAAATTTTTAGCTTATTTTGATGTACATGATGGGTTCATTGAAGTCAGTTGAGGATCAAGGTCTGCAAATTCCAATAAATATATTTTTTCATGCAGAAGGCAACTACAAAGGAAAGACCAAGGGGAGGATTAACAGTAAATGTTGCATATCACAGGATTAGTAGGTGGGTGGTTCTCTTTGAACTTATTGTGAGAGAATACATTTTATATCAACAGCCATCAATGACATAGAAAGACACAAATAAAAATACCCAGTAATCATTGCCTACTGAAAACAGTTGTTTTCAAACATCTGCTCTCTCACTGAACTACTTTACAACACTGTTTTGACATAAATATCTCTGTAACATCTTTTATCACATAGGCTTCTTTTAATAGTATTCTGAAAGATATTTTAGGTACTTAGTGCAATTAGTAAGCCTACTTGAGCCTTATTTGTACATTCTATTTCCTTTAGCCAGCCGTGGCAAGTCCAAACAACATTGATGGTAGCTGCTATGAAGTAAATAGTGTAAACATAAGGTGAAGCATTAGACAGTTGAATTCTACACTGAATCCTTACAACACCTTACAACACCACCACAAAAAAAAATGATCAGTTGCAAACAAAGAAGCAAGCACAGTATAAAAAAATAGTAGTTTACTGTTTTAAATTTCTCCATTACACCCTAAAGACAAGTCCTAGATTTTCAATAACGTATGACATGACTGTTTCACTTTTTGCTCTACAGGAAGCAAGACTGGTCTGGCCAGAAATAACATTAGCTGAGTTTTCAACGACTAACAGATTAGTTTATAATAATCTTGTAGATCATGAAGAATGAGCATCAGGCTGGATTAGGTAGGACTTGTTCGACCTGCTCAGTTAAAGGTGGACTCTGACACTTTCAATTTGATTCCAGTCTGCAGTCTGAAGCAAAAGGCTCATCCAGAAAACGATAAGCCCTATGTCTGCCTACCCAGTTAAATTAAGTTTCAGGATATATTTTTCCAACTAAGCAAGTTCCAACTGAATAACAGTTAACAACCTCAAATCAAGAGTTCATTACTGCATATTCCACTTGCATTCCTAACTTTGACCTTGGAACACTGTCTAAGATGGTGAGCAGTAGTAATTCAGTCTCCCAACTACCTCATTCTAAGAGAATCTCTCCTGAGAGCAGGCTGCTAAAGGCAGTTTTGTATTTGACCCAGTACTAGAACAACAAGCTCCATTTCAGTTTGAGTTACAGTTTGGGTTTGGTCCAGAACTGCAGATGGCATCAAATGCAGCTTCCTTCTTGTAAAATCACACATCAGCAGCATTTCTACCTTGGGGAAGATGGCATTTTCAAAAGTGCTTATCACTGATCTTCCTCTCCTTCTTCTTTTATATTTCATACAGGAAAAAACGGGGGAGAGGAGGGAAGAAACAATAACATCCAAATGTTTCTCATAATTGAAAAATTTAAAAAGAGAAAGAGGATACCTGAATTGGCGTTAATCCTATTGGTGGTGCTCAAACAGGTAACCTTTTCAGGTCTCAAAGTTTCTTTCAGCATAACAAATATTTGGGAAACTTTATAATTTCTGAAGTTAATAGGGGGGCTTTTAACTGTTACAGCATTCTACAAATGTGTACCAACTCACAACAATGTGCCTGAAAGACTCAACTCGTTTTAAGATTACATTGTAATCCTGTGTTTGAAACAACTGCATTATTTGCAATGGATAAATTACTCTGTTTCTCTCCTGGTTTTTTTTTTATGTAGCCTTATGGCTTCCTCAAAATGTATTATACAAAATAATTCCTAGAAACATTGTTGTGAATAATGGTCTCCAAGTTCAATAACAGTATTTTTTATTCAAAATCCAGGCCACATTAGCAACTTCTGATTGGATTTACAGATTATATAATAATGTTTCTTTCCTGTGACTGGTAAATGGAAGAGGAGGACAGCTAGCTAATACCTGCTGCTCAATCAAAGTGTCATTGATCCCACTAAGGTATTTTCCTAATTCTGTTTAGTTAAAGTGACAGGAATCTTCATGGGGCTATGTTTTAGCCGACTTATATCTGATTTATACTGAACTGGCTTAATTTGGTTAGTTACTGTAAATATGGATAAGGCCTGAGACTCAGTAATAGATATTTGTGCATGACTGCAATCACGTAATACCAAAGACTTTACACAGTCAAATTTGATTTTGACTGCAAGAGTAGGTGAAAAAAAGATCAGGCCCCAGATCACAATACCTCATGTTTTATATATATATGTATGCATACTTATATATTTGGTTATACAAACATATATACTTCTGTGAATATCCCTACATTCTCCTGACAGGTAAAATCAAAGATAGAAAATGGAAAATGCCTTCACCTAAGACAGTACAAATTTGATGGCTTGGACATGATTCAACTAGTTTTCTTGCAAAGATCACTAAGCTATATAATGGTCTACCCCACATAATGCTACGTTCTTTGCACATACAACTCTATCTGTACAGCAGAGGTTATCAGCAGTCAAGCTGGATGCCTATAAAGAGAGATGTCTCCAAGAGGACAGGTCATAGCAGGAATAATTAGTGGGGTTCTGATCTGTCTCAGGTAGAGGAACGGAGACTGAGAATGGGTGAGACCAGATGGAAGTCTCTCTGCTACCCTTCCACTCCCTCTTCACAAACTGACTCAGCGGGGGAGAGGTCCTCTCCCCCACCTTCCCCACCACGGACAAAGCTGCTGCCCACACAGCCCGATCCCGTCCCGTGTAACCACACTCGGGTCTTCAAGCAAAGTACCAGTAAAGCTGATGGTGACTGGCAGGCTGATGGTGCAGACATCCTTATCCACTCAATAAACACCCTGCTCCCACTTCCCGATTTTATCTGCAGATTTCCCCTGCTGACATAATAGACCCTTCAGCCTGCCCAGATCGACTGTTAGCTCTCAGATCAAGCAATGGGTGTCAGCTCCTGGCACCACTACATCCTTCTGCCGTGAGATGCCTTCGGCACCGAGGCATTCACCAACTTCAAGCCTGGCAGGTCCCAACCGTGGTAAAAGAGGAAAAAAAAAATGCCAGAAATCCATAAAAAAATCTCCTATGAAATTGTCTTCAAAGGCCGATGTCTCCCGGGGCACCACCCAACGGCAGGCAAGGGCCAGCCGCGGCGGCCGGTGGGTTCCGGGCACGGCTACTGCGTTCCGAAGGGCACGTTTCCTGCCCCACGCTCCAGGAACCTCGACTCAGCGGTAACGGCCGCCGGGCGAGGCGTCAACGGCCCTGCGCCTCACAGCGCTGCGCTGCCTCAGCCCGCTCCGTTCGCGGCGGGGGAAAGCGGGGAGGAAAGGAGAAAGAATTTCTGTGACGGTGGAACTGCCCGCCGCCGCAGCTCCCCCTTTCACCCGCCCGCCCGCCTGCCTGCCTGCCTGCCTGCCTGCCTGCCTGCCTGCCTGCCTGCCTGCCTGCCTGCCTGCCTGCCTGCCTGCCTGCCCTCCCTCCCTCCCTTCCTTCCTTCCTTCCTTCCTTCCCCTCGGCGGCGCCGGGCCCCGCGGCTGCCTCCCGGCGCGGAGCGGCGCGGGAGCGAGGTGCGTTACCTGGAGCTCGGTGGCAGTCTTACCTGTGCGCGCCTCTTCCAATGGCAGCGCACCTGCCGGCCCGCGCCGCCCAATCAGCTGGCGGCTCGTCCCTCTGCCCCGCGCCTTTAGTGAAAGAATCCAGCGCCGCTCGGAAAGTTACCTGTGCGCGCCCGGCCCGGCCGCTCTCTGCCCGGCGAGCCCCACATGCGAGGGGGAGGGGGCTGGGGCTCTACCTGTCCTACCTCGGCGGCTGGCTGCGGAGCCGGGAGAAGGGGGGGAAGGAAAGCAGAATTACCAGTAGCTCTGGTTCTGCCGTCCCGGGCGTTCACACACACACCTTCACCTGCACAGACCTGAAAGTCCAGTTCCGCCAGGGAGACGGAGGCACCGGGAAAAGGGGAGAGAGTTCATTGGATCAAACATGTCACAAGAGACGGACAAGTAAGTGATCGCAGGCACGCCGCTGCTCCCGCTGCGCGGGGCTGGCCGGCCCGTCGGGCTGGTCGGGTTTCCCTCTTGCCGGTGGCGGACGCGGACCTGCCGGGACTGCGCTTCTCCCTCCGGAAAGCGAAGCCGGACCGGGCGGCACAGCAACTCTCAGAGCGCCCGAGGACACGCTGAGGCTCGCCGCCCACCTCGCTTTCCATCTGGCTGTGGGGTTTCTCGATATTATTATTTTTAGCTCCCCTTTGATATGTTTGGGGTTTTTTGGTTTTTTTTTGGTTTGTTTTTTTAGGGTTGTGTTTTTTTTCCTTCCCCTCACCTCGAGGGTCACTTTTCGGGAAGGAGCTCTCTTCTCCTCGCCCGAGAAGAGCGGAGCGGCCTCCGCCCGCCGAAGGCCGTGGACTTAAAACTGCTTCTTGGCTTTTGTGTTAGCGCAACAAAGGGCTTTTATCCCGGGCCGGGTACGGCCATCTTCCTCCCCTTGGCCAGTACCGGCCGGGCAAGGCAGAGCCGTGGGCTTGTGGAAGCCTGGGTCTCTCCCGTCACCCGCGGCACAAAGTGCTCCGGCCCTGCCCGTGCGCTCGCTGGCTTCGGCTGCCCCAGACGCTGCATGCGGCGCCTTCAGCCTCAGCGTCCTGACCTTGTTTTCCCGGCGGGCCGCCCCGGCGGGCCGCCCCGGCGGGGCCGCGGCTGCCCGGAGACCGGCGCCTCCGCCCGAGGTTAAAAAGTAACTTTCGCAGTAGCGTCACCGAAGGAGAAAGAAGAGGAGGTGGAAGCTGCTGGGCCCGCGCCCGCCGCAGCCCTTCTCCCGCCCCGGCGGGGCACGGCTGCGGGGGCCGCAGGCCGCGGCGGACGGGCCCGGGTGCAGCGAGGCGTGCGGGGCTGCGTGCCCCGAGGCCGGCGAGGCCAAGGGCAGAGCGGCGATGACGTGGGAAGGCCCCCGTGCCTCCTGGGGTACACGGGCTGTGGTGCCAGGTTCCCCCGGGGCACGCAGCGGGACTGAGACGGAGCCAGCGGTGGGCTCGGCGGGAGCGGGGCCTGTCCGGGGTGGGTGTCCAGTTCCACCAACGCTTCG